TATTAATGTCCCAAACAAGCTTTGAGAATCTTTTTCTAAAGTCTGTGTTCGTAAATAAATCATCTGATATCTGTATTAAAACAAAAATAATATAAACTTCTATATTTATTCATTTATGAATAAATATGAATAAGTAAAATATCAATAAATATTCATAAATGAATAAACTACTATTTGAAAAAATTAGTGTATTCATCTATGAATAACTAAATTCTATGTAACATATTTGAAATATATTAAAATAATACCTTGTTTTTCAAGTTCTTCATTATATGCCACATACATAATCGGTGCTTTGAATTAAGACAAACATTCTCAATAGCTTGTTTTATTGCAACATCTTGATCGGTTAAAATAAGTGTTGGTTCTTTCCCATGAGTTTTAAGAAATGCTTTAAGCAACCAAGAGTAGGACTCAATGCTTTCATTGCTTAGCAAACCCGCTCCAATAGTAACTGATTTTTTATGATGGTCAATAGCAGTAAATGGAACAAAAACCATTCGATACCTAACACACAAACAAAAAAAGTGTCCATTAAAGTCAATTTTTTGATGTATTCATAAATAAAAATAAAAATATTCATGTATGAATACAATTACAATATATTATTAGAATAATTTCAACAATAAAAACTGAACATGAAACGTAAAAGTTAAAATATTCATATATGAATAAGCGATAAAAAAGTAGATAGAATAACTTACTTGTTTGTTCGGAAAGTCGCATCAAACGAGATAACATCACCAAATTCAACATAATATGTCTTCTCCATTTCATCAGCCCAAAACATACAGTCCAAAACATTATCTTGACAATTAAACTTAAATGAGTAATTTGGATAGTGAGCTCGACGGTCATTCATTGTGTTTACTATCATTTGGGCATCTTTATAACCTATAACCCTGTTGATATCTCTCCTTAAATTTTTATAGTCAACTATTTTGGGCTTTACAAACTCATACCCACCTCTCAAACTTGCCCTCAACTTATGAGCCATAGTTGGGCCTATTTTTGATGTGGAAGCACGCACTATAAACTCTTTTGCTGAATATGACATTTGCCTCGTTTTTTTTTAAATCACTTCTCTTCTCAAGTGGATGGTTGTGAAGTTCATCAAACTGAAAAACTTTATAATTTGGAGTTCCATACACAGATTCAAATATAATCTTTGCTTGACAACCAATAACTCTTGAATTTGAATTTTTCGTTTCCTCCTAACACCACTTGTACCCAATGTGTCACAAGATTTCTTTTTCTGTTTGCCACCATGATTACAAATAACATGTTTCTTCTTTATAATATTGTTATCAAACTTTCACTGTGTGCTCAGTCTCACATCAAAACCACCAATTTCAGCATACTCGGAATACATTTTGATGGCCAACTTTAATGATTTAAAGATTAAACCTTTAAATGGAATAAGTTGAACAGATACATCTGGCTTATAGACATGTTCTCTAATTATATCTCCACAATATTGCGCATCATCTACTGAACTCGAAGATTCACCACCTAAAAACTTATAAATCTAAATCAATATAATAATGCATGAATAAAACAATCATATATGAATAAAACAATCATATATGAATACATGAAATTCATATGAATAAAACAAAAAATAATGTTTATTAATGGATTAATAAAACATTCATATATGAATACATAAAATTCATGAGGATTCAAAATATATAAAATAAACATAACTTATTCATATATGAATAAAACGAAAATAATAATAAATTCGAAATTACAATTATGACACGTTTATTCATATATGAATAAGACAACAATTTATTCATATGAACATATTCATATGTCAATAAATGATAATCAACAAAATTAAAAACAACAAAATAATTCAATAACTGATACCTTCAAAAAATGAGTTCTCAAACATCTTCTTCTTCACTCTCACACATAGAAGAATACAAATCACCATCAGTAACACTAGAATTCGACATAATAAACCAAATGATCTGTATAAATAAACAAAAACAATCTTAATATCGAATATATCTCACAAAAAAAGTCGTAAATATGAAAACCTGGTTAATTTCGAATATATCTCACCTTAACGTACAAAATATCTGAAAGAAACTCAAATCAGCTCGATCAGATGATGTAATTAAGCAATCTCTCTCAGTTCAGAGCGTAAAAACTACAACGATATATCCGATTGAAAATTAAATCAACTCCGATTTGAAATTAATATCTCAAACTACATAACAAAAATCCGATGAAACAACTCCAATACATATTCGAAACTTGATAATCTTGATAATGAACTTCGATGAAACAACTCCAAAACAAAAATAATACGCGTAATCCCAAACAAATTATATAAAGCAATAATCTTGATAATGAACTCCGATATATCCGATTCAAACGATATACATACCTGATCAAATCGGAAACTGAATACGAAGAAGAAAACTGAAACACAGATGCGAAACTTCACGATTAATGGAAAAAATACATATAATTGCTAACGAGTTATATAAAGAAAAGAATCTTGATAATGAATTCCTCATATCCGATTCAAACGAGCTAAAGATATCATCAAATTGGAAACTGATAACAACAAACATGTAAGTTCTATATAAAAAAGTTGCTAATTTACAAAGATACCCTTAATGAAAAATGACACGCGCATTTTTTTTAAGGTGAACATGTTAGATAAATGATTGGCTGAGAATGATTCCCCTATTCTCAACCTTTTTTATTTTCTCAATTGAACTTACCTTTATATATATATATATATATATATATATATATATATATATATATATATATATGTGTGTGTGTGTGTGTGTTTTATTCAACTCACCTCTTTAATTAAATAAATAAACCAATGTTGTCAAAATCGCGATCTTGATCGTAGGATCGTACAATCCTATGATCCTAGACATGAAAACCAAGTCAAATCATATAAGAATCATATTTAGGGTGTGATCATAGGTACGAACATAGAACCGAGATCCGTTCTGATCCCATCTTCCCTTGATTTTTTTTATGAAAATGAAAAAAATGAATTTACCACTTTATGTCTGTTACATTTTACCAGTTTGTTGTTTATCATTTTGTGTTGTGAGTTGTGACTAATGTTTTTAAAGTTTTTAAAGTTTTTGAACGGAAAACTGAATGTATGAGATATGTTTCATTTTTAAAATTATAAGTTAAAATTATGTTTTATTTTGTAGGATCTTAGGATTCCGATCCCGATCTTACAAACTCAAAAATGATCCTACGTAGGGTCCCAATTTTGACAACCTTGAAATAAAACCCTACACAAAATAAATCTTTTAACATTTAAATGATATAAATTAATTTATACAATATGAAATATTTATGTTATTATTATTTTTTAATAACAAACACAAGAGATGTAATATTTTAATAAAATCAAAATCATATTCTAAAATATCAATTTAAGTGTCTATTTGTTATCGATATCGATATGATTTTATAGAATCATATGTTATTAACAATATCATTTTATGATCATTCTTAAATATATAGAACCAACATATATCACATATGTTGTCTAACATATTTGCTTATTCATGTATGATCCCAAAGAGTCTCACTTTATTGTTCTAAAAAGAATCTTTCGTTATAGACTTATATCCAAGGCACCACATCTCATCACCTTCAATTATATGCATCACCTACACGAAGGCTCATTACTTACTCTTCTCCAATCAGTAGAAGTTCCACATCAGGTTACTATGTGTTTATTGACTGAAACTTCCTCTTCTAGTCTACAACAAAAAAAGATTTATTGGTCTAGTGTCGAAGCCGAATATAGAGGAGCTGCCAGTGTCGCGGTTGAAACTTCTTGGATTCAAAATCTTTTTTGTGAACTTCATTATCGCACTGCTTCAGTCATGATTGTCCCGATTCAGCATCAACAAACCAAGCACATCGAGATAAACATTCACTTTGTTTGTGACATGGTTTAGACTAGTTGTGTTTGTATTCTTCATTTTCCGTTAAACACTAGTATGCTAACATTCTATCTACATTGTTCATCGACTTCAAATCAAGTTTAAGCGTTAGGAAAATCTTCACGTTTAAACTACAAGGGGATGGTAGTGTTTTATAGTTTGTATTGTATTGAGCCCATATGTATATCGGACAACTATATTGTTTTGGTTAGGCCTTTATATATACCCCATATATTAGTGAAATAAGAGAAGATCATTCATGGAACATATATCAAAAGTATATTTGTCCTTCCAAAGTGTGTCTCATTTCCAGAAGTTCAAATCAGTAGTACCAAGCCAAATGCCTAGTTGAGTCGATATTATGCTAAACTGTTATACAATTTGACCAAAGCTTTGACTTTAAACTTTTAGGACGTGTTCGGCAAAACTAGCTTGTAGCAGGTAGCGGGTAGCTTGTAGCTTGTAGCGTTTTGTTAAACGCTACATGAAGTAGCATTTGGATTTGAAGCGTTTTGATTAAACTAAACGCTAGAAGTTTGTAGTGCCAAACGAGACTTTTTGTTTTAAACGGAGCGTTTTGTCAAACGCTAGAAGCTAGAAGCTCTCAAACGCTACAAAACGTTACGTGCCGAACACACCCTTAGTCTCCACCATCACTTACCTAAAAGAACTAGCAATTAGTTTAAGGGATGGATTGTTATGAGTAAACTCATTTGTTAACCAAGTCTTTAAATTAATGGTAGCTATTTTCTAATCATTGAAATGGTAGTCAATTACTTCGATCAAGCTTTCAGGAAGTTCATTAATGGGTGAATTGATGGCAGAATGTTACTTATGTAGGCTCAACTCTCAAGTGACTCGAAAAGTCGAAATAAGCCAGAAGTCATTTCCCTGTCTAAATATTAATGAAGCTTCTATGCACGCGTGTAGAGGGAAGGAGACCCACACCTTCCCACGTGTATGCTCTACTGGGAATAGATACGGTTGCGCACGTGTCACCTCGGGCCCTCCATTTCTTCTCCCCTCTTCTATTCTATATCACCACCCCTCCATACCACTCTGTCTTCTGAATCCGTACAGGGTGTCCTATACCCTAAACTATTACCTAAATTCAATCATTCACCGGTGTACCCAATACGAGTTTTTTTCCAATTCCGGCAAGTGTTCTGATGATGGAGACGCAAATTCAGACCAATTACTCATACATGGGAAGAAATTTTAGCAACACAAATGATGATTCCACCGCTTTTAGTGATTGCAACAGCGACCGATCAGGTGAATTCCCGACGACCTCTTCGGAGAGCCGTCGTCTCCTTTTGTCCTGCGCCACCGAGAACTCAGAAGATCTAATCCGGCAGCTTGTGTCTGGTCTCGAATCTGGTTCGGTTGACGATCAGAAACAAGCAGCGATGGAGTTACGGCTCTTAGCGAAGAACAAACCAGAGAACAGATTGAAGATCGCGAGAGCTGGAGCAATCAGGCCGTTGATTGCGCTAATCTCTTCGTCCGATCCGCAGCTTCAAGAGTATGGAGTGACGGCGATTTTGAACTTGTCTCTATGCGATGAAAACAAAGAGCAATTGGCTTCTTCCGGAGCAATCAAACCGCTGGTTAGAGCGTTGAAGATCGGAACATCAACGGCGAAAGAAAACGCAGCGTGTGCTTTACTCCGTTTATCTCAATTAGACGAAAACAAATCTGCGATCGGACGGTCAGGAGCGATTCCTTTACTTGTAAACCTTCTCGAAAGTGGAAACATCCGCGGGAAAAAAGACGCGTCGACGGCGTTGTATTCATTGTGTTCGGTGAAGGAGAATAAGATTCGAGCTGTAGAGGCGGGGATCATGAAGCCGTTGGTTGAACTCATGGCCGATTTCGGATCAAACATGGTGGACAAATCGGCATTTGTGATGAGTATTTTGGTATCCTCGGCGGAGGCAAGGGCGGCGCTGGTGGAGGAAGGAGGAATCCCGGTGTTGGTGGAAATCATAGAGGTCGGATCACAGAGGCAGAAGGAGATAGCGGTGGTGATATTGTTACAGATATGTGATCAGAGTCTGGTGTACCGGACTATGGTGGCCCGCGAAGGAGCCATTCCTCCCCTCATCGCCCTGTCGCAATCTGGTACCAATCGAGCTAAACAAAAGGTAAAATTAATTCACTTTTTCTTCACTTTTCTCTTATTATTATTATTATTATTTTAAGACTTTACTATTTGATTACTTTAGTGCAAAAGTATTCATACAATTACAAACTCATTTATTTTTCAATAATCTAATCTTTTACATAAAATGATTCACGAATATTCTCTTAACCCAATCTTAGTTTTAAATATTTACATCAAACATAGATTATTAATGAACCATGAATAAAAAATTAAAAGTGAGTCTATTAATTGTATTATTTCTTAAATTGATTCGATAGTTGGTCCCTTTTACAACTTCAATGGACCATTTTGTGGACCTATATTTAATAAACGGGTTGAAAAAAATATAAAATATGGCATTTAATATAGTTTCTAAAGAGAGTGTGTTTAGTTAATGGTTGGTTTTTGTCGTTTTAAGAAGGATGATTTGATTGGTTAATAATTTTGTTGGATGGACAGGCGGAGACGTTGATTGAGCTTCTACGTCGACCAAGATCCGGCAACAACGCGGCCAACCAGGATTTGACAGATTAACATGTTCTCCTTTCCATCAGCATACACACATACTTACAAACATGGGACAAAAATTTGTATATGCTCACAGTTGCTTCCTATGTTTTGTAAGACACAAATATTAAGTGTTGTTTTTTTTGTTAAATTTTAGTTCTTACTGTGTATTTTGTTTTTTAAGTTTATAAATTCATAATAATATTAAACTCATAAATCGAGAAACAATTTTGTGTCAGTTAAACATTTAAATCACAGTTAAACATTTAAATCACATTACATACACGATATTTATGGTGCTTATTCAAATGTAAGTATCTGAATAATGTTTTTATTTTTTTTTTTATTGTTAGATTTGTCATTTTCTTTTAATCACAATTGGATACTTGCATTTCTATGTAGGATTCATGTTTTGTATAAGTTTGTGGGATCTAATCCTTGATCTTTAGGTTATAGTTAGTGGATTGTCACGGGGTATGTTTAATATTTGGTTATCAAGTTTTTGTTATATTCATGAAGGAAAACCAATTAAAACATACAAAAATTGTTGAAATTTTGGAACTTGTCAATATTTTACTATAAAACGATGCACAAGTCGGGCGAAGCTAATTTGCATAGAGTTTTGGATGTCGGTATTAATTGGTGCTTATGATATACAAACAAAAAAGATGGTATAATCACAACAAAGACAACAAACTAACATGAACACAACTCATGATAGAAAGCGAAACACATCTTAATTCACAAAAGATATATCTAAAGAATAAAATGTGCAATGCCAAAAGATATATCTAAAGAATAAAATGTGCAATGCACATGTGATTTGTTAAAGGGGCGTTAGGTCTCGTCTTTTGTAGGTGTTGTGTTTGAGTCTGTATGCGAAAATTTTCGTAGTTTTGTAATTTGTAGTCTTCAACTTGTAAATACGAAAACAAGTTTTGTTTCATAGTTTGTTACTAGGCTTCGCAGTGTTGTTTACTTAGTTGTATTGACAACCTGTGGTGTCGTGACCTTATTGTTCATTTTCTAACCGACTCCTTTTATGTATCATATATATAAGGGATGTTAGTCAGATAGAGACAATATATTTTTGAGATGTTCTTACGTCATATTGTAATTTGAGCTTCTTACTTTCTAATTGAAAATCATATCATGTTTACTTGTTTGTGTTCATTTAATTTTTCGTGTTCAAACACGATTTTTATCTTCTAGAATCTATTGATCCTACAAATGGTATCAGAGCAAGGATTTCTCTGAGTTGTTTTCAAATCATTAAATTTCATTCGTGTTCTTGAGTTCTTTTTTTGTTACATTGTTTTGTAGATCTATTCTGCATTTTGCAATCTGATTGCAATTTGATCCGGAATTCGTTGTTCCATTACTCGTTTTGATTTGAATTCTAAATTTGTACTTCCACCAGATACACTCAAACTAGTAAGCTCTTAGCTCATGAAATTTAGGAGATACTGAAGGAAATTTACTCTAGTGATGCCAATCAAACTCATTCTATGTAAACAACATTACTTTCGGAGTTTGTATCTTTTTGATAGAAGGCCTGGAGAGATAATTGATCAAGTTGCAAGTAGATTTAATCATTTACTTAGCAGAATGTTGACGTAAAAATTGTAGAGAGAAACGATTGAAGAAAATGTGGCATTCATGAACAGTTTACGTTCAGAATGGAAGATGTAACCATCAACTGTGAAGACACCTGAACAATTCAAGAATTACTCATTAGCACAAGTTGTCGGTATTTTAAGATCTCATGAAGATGAAGTCATGGAAAATGCAAAAGATAAGTGTCTTTTAGCTTTGGTTGTGAAAGGAGAAATTAAGAAAGAAAGAAAGTCCAATGAAAAGGTAGTTTGTGATGATTATGACTCAGATGCGACAGATGATAGATTTACCAGTGAGGAAAGGCTCTCATTGCCAGTAATCCAATGAATTCTTTAAGAATAATTTTTCAAAGTTCAGAGGCAGTGGTAATGCAAGGACTGGTGGAGGAGGAAATGGCTACAAAGGAGGAAATTCGTACGCTGAAAAGAACAAAGGCGAATGAGTCAAAAATTATCAACAAGAAGAAGGGAAAAGGAAAATAAATTGTTTGGTGATTCTGGATATAACTACAATTATTGCAATGGGAAGAACCATTTTGCAAAAGAGTGTATGCTGCGAAAGCAAAATGAGAAGAATGAGAAAGAGAAAAATGAAGCCTACTACATGAAAAAGATTAAGGATCTGAAAAAGTCAAAAGTTCATGGAAACACTTTGGTAGTGGAAGAGGATCAGATTAAGGATCTGAAAAATTCAAAAGTTCATGCAAAAGATTAAGGATCGGATTAAGGATCTGAAAAAGTCAAAAGTTCATGTATTTTGAATTCTGATAATAGGATGCATATGAAACAACGAAACATCTTTGGCCAAATTGTGAAACGATTATACAAACATATCACTCAACTTTATCTAAACTACGAAATGTATGATGAAATGCACAAGAAAATGATAACATTCTTAGAATTTCAAGAAGAAGAAATACATGCAGAATGTTATGAATGTGAATCTTTGGTGTCTTCTAACGAATCCTTAAATGATGATTATAAGGTTGGTTTAGAAAATTTTGAAGAATTTTTTTAAACAAAAGAAATAAAGAAATTGATGAATGATTTACTAACTGAAGAAACTAAAATAAATAAAAAAGAACTCAAATGAAAAAATATCTTGATGTGTAATAAATTGAATTATAAGGAGTATCGTAAAGGTGAGATTGATTCTGATTCTGATGAAAGTGTGATTATTGAGATTTTATTAAAAAAATAAGATTGATTGTTCCAATTTTGTGATAAATGATAATGAACCAAAAAGGAACTTGATTTTTTAAAAATCTTCTAAACTTGAAAAAGTGGTTGAAATAAATGGAATTGATAATTTAGAAGAAAAAACTGTTGTGTCTCCAAATATCCAAAGTACTCCAAATCAAGTTTTTGTTACGAAAGGACTTGACAAAATTGACACCATTGACTTAACTTCTATTATGAAGACTGATAATGTCAATTCTTGTGAGAGTCATTTTTGGTATGTGCCTATAGATAATGGTGAGGAGACAACATGTTTTTCAAATAAGACATATTGGAGAGTGAAGAATAGATACATTTCAGAACCTTTAAATGTAACATCTACTTCACAAGTTGTAGTAGTAAATTCTGATACTCATGATATGAAACCTATTTTAAATGAGAAATTTAGTTTGAGTGGTAAAAAAGGAAAATATAAGATGTGTGATCAATACGTTCATATCAAAAAGATGTGAAAGAAAAGATTAAAGCAAGGATAGCTAGATACAAAAAGAACATGAAAGAAAGGAAGAGATTTTAGAAACAAAAGGAGAAATTAACAAATTTTGTTAATTGTGACATCCTTTATTTCTCAGAATCAATTAAAACATTTTCTTTACGCTTTATAAATTGAGATGCAGAAATTCCCATTTAAATAAGACATTTTTAAGATAACAAAAGTTATTTTATTAAAACCTTCGATGATGTCATTCGTTTATATCCGAACATACATTACAACGTAAAATATAAAAGGTCCTAAGACTACATATTACAAGCATGTCTCTTTATTCCACTAAACATCCTAACTAGACTACAAAATCCTTAGTTCCACTACCTGTGATACGTAAAAATAAGTGGGTCAGGTTTGGGAAACCTGGTGAGATACGTAGGGCTTTCAAGCCCATAAAATTTTAATGATAAAATAATTTCATTCCTGTAAAACACATATAAGATAATATAGATACCCATAATCTGATCTAATACCAACTACCCAACCCAATCGATCCTCACGTTTCCTAGTTTGATAATCATCTGCTAGAATCACCTTACTTGATGAACTGTCTGAGTATTTGTTTGACTACACAGCTAGGGGAGTCCTTCGCCAGTATAAGTCATATGTAAGGCAACCAAAAGTATAAGTAATGTTTTAACTTATATAATTAATGTTTTAGCTTATATAATTAGTGATGAGTTCGTTCTCCAAAAGTATGGTTTTACCATATATAAGAATTATCTCGACTTATATAATTTATGGTGTACCTTTATTCCAAAAGTTGTGTTTTACTATGTATAAGTTTCATTTAATTTCTTTAAGAGTTTTCTTAAGGCGTAGGTATCAAGGTTACAATGAGTTCCTCATAATCGAGCTAATGACGTGCTCAAATGCTCCTCACAACGCTTCATCCGACGTTGTAATGATTAGACAGTTATCACATGCGTGACTCTTCCGCCAAGGTTGTAGCTAGCAGCCATAGGTGGGGGTGTCTATTGATATAGATCTATGCATAACTCTCTCGTTCACTTAAGATTTAACAATTATAGGTAGGGGTCTTTCTAAGTGTTACCACTTAGTTTGATGAATGTGTCTCATTTAACCGTTGACTGAGAGAGCCTTAATCGTTATAGCCTTAACTTTATAACTTTAAGTTATTAAGACCAATGTTGCGTTTGTATAATTATATTTATTTATAATAAAATGAAATTAAAATGGAAATAAAATTGAGAGGGGTATCGCAATTGGTTTTTGATATGTATAATGACCCAAAAATTCTTCCATTAACGAAGTCGGCTTCCCGTTTCTTGGGTATTAATTGTTGAAAAGTTATTTCGATTCTAAAGGTATAAAATAAAATAGTTTAAAAAAAAGGGTGTTAATTTATACCTAAAAGAATGATCAAATATATTTAAAAGAGGTATTTAATTGGATTAAATGAATTTGTGGGTGGTTAAGGTTAATATAATTTCATTAAAAGGTTTAAAAAGAAAAAAAGGGGTTGATATGTCATAAAAGGAAACTAGTTATGTTAAATTATCTAGGGTTAGGGTAAAAGGAGTACAAGATTGAGACTTTAGGGGCTAGAAGACAAAAATCGTTCATAACCCCTCCATGAAATTGGATCGACGGGTTTAAGGCCTTAATGTCGTCTGTTTTTCCTCATGTTGAATATGTATGCAGTATATCGATTGATCCTTGGGTTTTCTTCTGCATTCGTCGAACGTGTATCACGAAATAAGGAAAAAAATCGAAGTGAGGGAGAGGTATGTAAGTAGCAATCGCCGAGAGAAGGAGTGTGAAATCAATTGATTTCGTGCGTTCCATTGGGATGCCATACGTGAAC